GCAGCAGCAGCAGCAGTAGCAACAACAGCATCGGATTTCAAAAATCCACCCGATGTTGACGGTGATGACGGACGGGCGCGGACCTTGGCGAAGACGATACAATATTTATGGTGGTGAACTCAAAGATAGCGACACTCTTTGAAAATTTCGTCGGTGTTATTTCATGTGAGAATGCGCTTTTGTATTCGTTTAATTGCCGCTCACAGATTTATGCGAAAATTTATGTGTCTGCTGCTGCTGTTGACAGAAGTGAGAGCGATGGAATGGGATCGGATTGACGACTGTATGATGTGGGGATGGATATGAGTTGATTTGATAGTAATAATGAGTGGGCATTTAGATGTGAACGAGCGATTGTGTGGCGCTGATTTGATTTACTTGCCAAATGATTAATTCACTCGATTCGATGAGAAGAAGAAGTCTTTTAATCATTCGATTGTATCCTCTTTTAATGGTGATGAACATATCTTGCTCATACGATCCCTTGTTTATTGAATCTATATCGGACATATCGTACAAAGGATATAACATACCTATCCTATGTATGTTATTCTCATTACATCTGTTGTAAATTCGTTAAATATATGCACAAACATGAAAGAATATCTTCAACAATTCGGCCTTTTGGTCAACAAATCATTTTCATATTTGTCATAATCGTAAATTATGATTGATATTAAAACGATTACAGCAAAATTTATAACTTGAAAGGTCACTATGCTTGAGTTACTCGAAAAAAAACGGACGCAAAGGTCACAATTGCCATTTTCGTTGCTCGTAAAACTTCATAACGGTCAGAATTGCTTCTTGTTCTCACCAAAGGTTAACCGGAAAGATATTATCTGACAAATCACTCACTCAGATTGAGCGTCACAATATGGGATCGAATCCGAGATTAGATCTACTCAAGTGATCTTGAAATGTTCAATCGTCAGCTTGAAATGTTCGAACCAGCATTTGAATGAAGTGGGTAGCATCACCAACAAAAGCTATGACTCAGCTATAGCAGTCTCACTATCTCAACTCAAACACATATTAGTGGATAAATTCTCAGTACATCAAAAATGTTCGGATATTCGCAAAAATCAGGTATCAATTCATTTATTCCAATGATGCGAATCATTCAGTAACATCATTCTCCTGGTTAGTTCTGTTAGGAATATTCTCAGCATAGATTTTCCTACAACTTTTCTATCTGATTGTCGAGAAATCGTAGAGAGAGTTGAATCGTACTTAAACACGCGAAACCATAGAGGACCTTTGAAGAGACTTGGTTTATTCCAAAAGAACGGGAGCAAAACATCAAATGATCGTCTGAGGTCAAATTTGTCGGATGTTCGTCCCCCTCAAACCGATGGATGCAGCAAAAGACGGTGTCTCGGTTGGAATAAAATCTTGTGCGAAATCATCAGATTTTATTGCCCATCGCAATGAGAATGGGAAATTTTGTCGGTGAATAGTTTAAAGCGTTTACAATGTCCACATTGTGCTGACTGCGAAGAGTTGCAAATATTTCCACATAAACCGTCTAATTTATGACTGACCTCACATTAACCGGACATCGCTAGCCAAAGAGGCTGTCAGCCAGATGTGAATCGTGAATAATTTACTGCATAAAACACGGATTCACAATCATACCGTAGCGACTGAGTAAAACTCTACTGGGCTAACTATGAGCAAACTATCGTACTAGCAAATGATTCCGTATGTCCCTACACTGCAGAGATGCACAGCGAGGTTGGTACTGAGCAATGTATAAATCAAAGAAAGGATATATTCTCATTCTAAGAAATCATGCGATAATGATAATCAAAATCAATTAATGTGATGATCAGATAAAATNATATCTAGAAGTTGATATCCTTGAACGAATTGAATCTCATGAACCAAATTGATCGATACTGTGCAAAAGTAATGAAGTGAAATTTTGCGCTTAGATAATACAATGGCGGGTTGAACTTGAGCACTATTCTCCTATTAATCATCTTATAAAATTTCCTAATTATTGTATTTCTGTCAGTAAACTACCTAAACAAATATCACGAGTTGAATCGAAGGTAAACAACGTAGAGTCATCAACTAATTCGAATGCGAGCTTCCATAAATTTATTCAGCGTGAGATGATTTTTGTAAGATATGAAGCATATCAACGTGAACTGACCTGTCTCTCGGAGAGTTGAAGGCTTTCAGAGATCTCCTGCCTCCTCTTCCTTGTTAAATATTTATTATAATGGAATTCTTTNGAATCCAATGTGAATCAGATTGTTCACCGTTTATGTTGATCTTCATTGAGCAATTTTCATCTGCTTTTTGATAAGAAGTTCATTTTTAAAATCTTCCTAACGAATGCATTAAATTCATAGTGAATATATTTAATCACAAACTCAAAATTCATTCAAAAAATAGTGATCAATTTGGTGAGGCTCACCGAAATGAGTAACTTAGGTTTTCAGTTCTTTGGAATATGAATATGTATATTTCTGGAATTTGAAACGTTTAAATGCTCAAATAATATTTCGCTCATCAAGGAAAAAAAAAGAAAACAATCATAATAGTTCTCAAACTAACAATGAACTCGTATTCG